GCAGTGTTGCTTTATGGCAGATATGAGTTTGTTAGTGTCCAGTCTTACAAACAAGCGTCAACTGTGAATGATCCTGTGGATAAAGTCGCTCTACAGCCACATTTGAAACTTCACCTCCATCCTTTTCTTCAAGCAGAAGTCCAGGTTACAGCCCAACTGCACTGACCACAGAGTAAATGCTGTATCCACATGTCAGGTAAGCACTGCAGCTCAGGTAGCAGCTCAGGCTTATGGTAACCATGAATACTCTCCTACCCGAAGAGTTCCTCAGTCATGCCCAGAAACCCCTTTCCTGAAGGAACCAGGCACACAGATTTTTATGGGGAAAAGATACATAACACATTAAAAGCTCAACAATTAACCCAGAAATTCTCCTTACTAACTACTTAAAAATTGCTTTTGGCTTCTGAAAAAAAAAAAACCCAACCAACCAACCCAAACCAACAAAACCTCCAACACAGCAAGAGAAAAATGACCATGCTGAGCCTTTCTTCTGAGGATTTGCTAGGGATTCAGTTCTCATGAGCTATAGGATCTTCCCAAAGGACTGAGACTGAGCCCTTCACATTTTCCCACAGCTTCCTTAATGGGTCACCTGAAAATCCCACATGTGGACTGTACTGCAGCTGCAGGTATGATGCAGAGATGTGTCAGGACCACAGTGACTAACAGACACACTATAGATACGCTAGCTTGGTTTTCTAGCTGAGGCAGTCCCTCCAGGCCATCTCCTCAGGATCTGGCTAAGGCTACTCATGCCATTTCTGACTCCCTGGCTACGAAACCAGATGTCACTCCTGGAACCAGTTCCATCCAGAAACACCAGTATTAGAAGAGGACACTGAACTCGATGCCTCCAGCAGTCCTCCTTCTAAAGCACACGGGTGGGCATTTAACAAGCTTTTGCCCTACCCTCCAAAAAAGAGGGGGAATACACTCTTCCAGTAGACTGGAGAAATGAAGAAGCCCTACTGCCTACATCTTCCCCAGGTAAGGGCTTCTCATAGGATTTTGGTGAAAGTGTCAAGCATGCAGTAAAATTGTGAGTTTTGCTGCTCTTGTGCTAGCCACACTGTAATCACAAGCAGTTCTGCCTCATCTGGATGAGGAATTTGGTTTTCAAGGGAAGCACAGCTGAGAAAGGCTTCAAATAGGATCTGATTAGTCAATTAAAACCAGATGCTGTGCTGGCAGACAGGCTGCTGTGGATCATCTGATACAATCCCCTTCCCCTCGTTTTTGTACATGATGTCCTTCCAAGCAAAGCCACCTCCCCCATAGCTATGTCTAAACTGCATTAGGAATCTTGGCATTTTTTCAGTTATACATGTTGTGAATGGTTTTGCCATTTAAAATATTTCAGAGGGATCAGAGAATCAAGTAGTTGACTGCTTGTCAGAAATCCACCTGGTATTGAAAGGAGGCAGAGGCCATGCTGCAGAGGGCCTGAGGCTGGAGTGTTTTAATCTCCACAGTCCTTAACCTTTACACAGCACTTTCCCCCCTTCTCCTGGAGGAGAGAGCTCCTTCACAGCTTTGGGACCAGAGAAGCAACACCCTCCCCACCATCCCACATGCTCTGCTTTAGTCTTAAGCACACAAGCTAAGGTTTTGTATTCCAGTACTGAGGCATAAACCACCTTTCTCTCATTGGGCTTTGGAAGGAAAGAGCACCCTGCAGTAGCTGTGCTTGCTTTTCACTGCTCCAGTAGGGCTCAAGGCTGCTTTAGCTCTTTCACGTTCTCATCTTAGCCTAGTGCAGAGACCACACGTTCCTGGTCTATGCACTCAGTCATTTATCCCTGTAACTCAGGTTTGATTCCTTTCCCATGAAGAAAATCCAGTCGGCCAGAGGCCTTCTGAGTACAGGCTAGGTATTGGTGTTAGTCCTCCTTGGCACTGGAGGATCACAAATAGAGTTGTTCCAAGTAGACTTCTTACCCTCTTCTCCACAACACAGCTGAAGCACTTCCCTTACTCTCCCAAGACTGCACTTGCTAACAGAAGTCACTGGGATCAGTTCTTACTTAGCCAGAATCAACACATTGAGGAATTTCTGTAATATACTTAGAGGTGCAAACAAGTTTCAGATTGGGACTATTCATTCGGTTGCTTGGTCACAGATGTAACAGGAGATCCATCCCAGAGAGGCCAAGGAAAGGGGATAACTGCTTTTGCTCTTGTTTTTCAGTATGACAAAGGAGAGGGGCTGATATCAGCTTGTTGAATAGCAGAACCATCTAAATTAATCTCACATGGAGCATCTGGTCCCAGTGGAGGGACGCCAGTCCTTTGCAGCACTCCAGCCACATAAATGCTGAGGACAGAGCAGGGAGAAGGCCTCAATCAGTGCAGAGCTGAGGCATACACCATAAGAAAAACAGGGGTTTAGGCTACTGCTGGGAAACAGAAGATGCCAGAGAAACTCAGCAGCTCTGTTTTCATTCTAGGGTCTTGTAAGCACAGCACCAGAAAAGGGGAGCTCAGCTTCAAGTGTACATGGCAAATTTGCCCCGGCTCCACGGCCTGTGGAAAGGTGACATTCTGACTTCACCCACAACTTTCTGCCTCTTCCTGCTCCCAACAGCACACGGTTAAGCAACAAGAACAAAACACAACAGGAGAAGCAACTACCAGAGGCTTTAGCTTTCACTGCCTTGGCAGTTGCTTCAAACTCTGGCTTGGCCAAACAACAACAGGTAAGACAAGATACTTTGAGTCACCTGTCCATGGTCAGGCAACAGCTTTGGCAGGGTCCAGCTCTTAAGACATCTAATTGCCATGTCAGCAAGTGAATCCAGGATGCTTTCAGAAGAGGTGTGCCTAATGAGTGCCTAGGACCACATCTGAGTTTCACTGACAAGAGCGATGTTGCGCTCTCAGCATCACACAGGGTGTTACAGTGGTAACAATGACACTCAGTTACACTAATGCACTTCTCTAGGGAGACTTCCCTTTTGACCCTGCCAGGGGTGTGACAGCTCTAAGAAAGGCACTAAGCCTTCATCAGGACTTTGCAGTTCTGCAGTTGACTGCACCCAGAGTTAGGACATATGCAGACTGCCTCTCTGGCCTCTTCAAGAGCAAAGCACTGTATCCACCCTTAACTAGGGCATGCCAGTGTTTATCTCAGCCCAAACCAAATGCAGTTCAGCTGGTCTAACAATTTTTTAAAATTAGAATTAGACATTTTAGTAGCAACAAATATCCTCAGCACTTCAATATTTTTTCTCCCCACTGGCATGTTACATTTAAAAGCCTCCATTAAAAACCCACATTGGTATATTGCCACAGCTCTAGACTCACAGGAAGATGTAGGATCTCTGCAGCGCAACGCAGGTCTGTCTCACCACTGAGATTTGGGAGACTTGAGTAAAAAAAAAAAAAAAAAAAAGATCCAAACTTAGAGCCAAGTCTTTCAAGGGAAAAATATACACGATAAGGCGCACAGTGCCAAGATCTCCTTTCTGCTTTGCAAATGCTCTGGAGGCACATTTGCACTTCACTGAGCCAAGTCATTTCTTAAAATGACTGGACGAGGGTTTGAAAAACGTGCAGACTGCGTCCTAAGGAGGACTGTTTAGGTTTTATGACTCTGAGCCATCTGTGAGCTAAAGGGACAGAAACCATCTAAAAACTGTGAAGCTGAGAGTTTGAGTTTCCACAGTATGCTCTGAATCACCTTTCATCTGCCTATTAAGTGGACACTGGCTGTTCTGCAACAGCCCTTCTGAAAATGCCATGGGTGTGAAAAACAGCAGATGGTGAATGGGGGTGGAAAGCTATACAAATTGTTACAGAAGCATGGAAAATTCATTGCTGGCTGTAAAAGTCACTAGACAAGGGCAGCTGTAAACAGCTAGGTGAAAAAAGAAGGTAGGGACATGTGGTAGCTGCTCTGGATAGTTTGCTGCTGCTCTCAAAAAACACCACAGAAGGGCTGAAGGAATCACATGTGAATTGACCATATGGTACAACACTCCCAAACATTAACTCCAAGGTGGTTTTCCATTGTGCTACAGTTTCCAGCTTTTGGCAGCACCTTGGATCTGATAATGGAATCACATAATGACCCTGGGGGACACTTAAAAAGCAAAACCACTTGTTTTTTATACGTTGCATATGCATGACTGTTAACCCAATGATTATCTTAATCTGACATACCAACACACTGAGGATACCTGGAGTATCACAGAACATTAAGCCAGAAGCCCAAGATAGGAAAGGAAGGAAAGGAAGCTCAGTATGGCCCATCTTTCTGCACTTGCAACTTGCAAAAGCCCAAACTCTCAGACTGGAAACACAGATTATAGCACATAATGAGATGACCAAGACAGGATTTTTTTTCCACTGCTTATCCCAACAATCTAGGGTATCTTTAAAACAGGAGGGAGATAACTATTTCCAGTCAACTCCATGGGCATGAATAACCACCTCCTAACGTGTCTCATGATGACTTTTGCTTATGCTTAAAAAAAGATAGTCATTCCAGAAGTGGCAGAACAAGGGAAACTGAAGTTTGAGTAGTAGAAACAAATCAGGGCAGGAAAGCATCTAGAATGAAAACATGAAAGTCATACCATCATCTTCATGGTCAGTACTGTTGTGATATTCTTCCTACCTGGCATTCCATCCTTCTGTGTCTAAGACTGCCATCCCTGGTTATATTTTACAAGGGAACCTTCTCCCTCTTCTTTTAGCTTCCCATTGGCAGGCTGAAAAACTTTTCACCTCCAGTTCCATACGTACCCTGTTGCTGAGCTCTCTTAGACCTATCACCACTGCCAAAAATCAGTGAGAGTCAGTGTAACAGGAAATAAAATGGACACTGATATCTCTAAGAAACAATCTCTGCCACCAGAGGTTAGGGTTGGAGGCACCATTTTCCCCCTCCCCTCCACAAATACTTCAGGTAGATGGCATTCATTTATCATACAAATACATCTGGGGGTGTCAAAGGAGAACATAAACAACTATAGTTAGAGAAGAGAAACCGCAAATGCTTTTCAATTTTATTCTTACTGGGAGGGTAGTGGCATCCTGACATGTCACATCATTCAGTGAAAACTGCCAGGGACTCATCCAGGCTCCTAGCTCACCAAGCATTTATGGTGCTAAGTCTTGCAGTAATCTTGGCTTGGCTGTAGTGCTTTGCTGAGCCTGCAGACATGGCATTCCCAATTCCAGATAGTTTTGCTGGGCCAAGACTGAAGTAATCAGCACTGACAGAAGGGGAAAGTAATCAGATGTGAAACAGAGCATATAATGAGCAATGTGTCAGGCTGGGACTGCACAGTGTTTGTACAGACCAGTCAGAAATGGGTATTACAAATGGAGCTGGAAAGTGGTAATAGTCAAAAACATGATCAAGTGCTTTTGATGGATTTCCCAGAGAAGAGAAAGTCTGTTCAGAAATAAATGAAACAGCTTAAAAAAACACAACAAACAACCAACCCCCAACCAAAAAAAAGAACCCAAATAAAACGCACCTAGTGACTTTTAAATCAACTTTTCCATTGGATAAATATATTTGAAATAGTTGTACAGTTCACAGTGGCATAAAGTTCTCTGATTGCTTGAGTGCTTGAAAATATCTCATCAGTAAAAAAATACCAGAGCTGGGGGAGGAAAACCCTCTCTCTGAATTCTGTACATGGGCAAATGCACAAGTTTTGGCAGGCATCAGGTCACTGGATCCACGGGAAACCAGCAGCATCACAGGACTGCAGATCACAAGTCAGGGGATGGAGGATAAGAAGAGTAATAAGGCCCATTTTCCTGCAATGAGAAAAGAATGAGCAGTTGAGCAAAAGCCTTCTCCAACACACCTTGTTGCAATGGGTGATGACATAGAACTAAACAGGTACTCCTGGACTCATCTTCCACAATACAGCAACTGCCACGATTCACTCAGGAGAGCACTATGCTGGTAATCAGGCAAAAACAGGCTTTGGTTTTGCCTCTCTTTTAAGCAAAAAGTGTAGGTTAAAATCTTGCCATTAGGCCAAAGCTGTGATGCAAGGAAGCCACAAATGCTAGCACAGGCAGTCACCTGAGACAAAGCTGCTTCCACAGACACAGCTCTGGCTACTGTGTAGTTACAGCACATCTGCTTAGGACTGATTTGGTCAATGCCAGCCATATTCATTCCACCATTTTGTTAGAGACCTTGGATGGAAAAGGGAAGAGGAGGAGGGACCAACACGAAGGCAAGGCACCCCATCTACCGTTCCACTCTACCCCACTGCTCCCCCCTCACCTTCCTGCATGCTTGTTGATACATGGGACAGGAAAGAGGAAACACAGACAGTATTTCTTTTTGCAGTCAGTGTAAGGTATACAGGAGGTACATAACAGGAATTTTATCTTGTCCACAGGCTCTTAGTGCATTATGTTACAGATCTTGGCTGAAGAAAGTTTTATGCACACAGACTGCTCTATTGGGAAAGACTTGCTTCTTAGCCAAGCCCTCTACTTGAACTGACATAGAAAAAGAATAATTTAAGAAAGTTGTTACTCACAGAACAACTAATGTCTCCAGGAACCCTCCCTTTCTTCTCCCCAGTCTTATGATGTGGAATTCAGCCCCTTTAAAGCTCTTGCAGGGCAGAACGGGAGAAGCACAAGAACTACACTCAGGAGCAAAAACTCACGCTTGCCACATGCAATCACATCACTTACCCTGGCATCGTACTCGAGGACAAAAGGGGGGAGATCAATCTGTTCTGGGGGTATGGCTGTGAATAACTGCTGAAGGCTTTCAACATAGTGAATTTTGTCCTTTAGCCCTGAGACTGTAAAGGTTGTGAAAAACCATGCTGAAACCTGAAAATAAACCCCAACAAAAAGAAATTAAGATGGTGCTGTTTCAAAACCTTCAAGTTCAATGTAACACTCCACAGTTAAACAGGCTTGAGTTAAACTTGAAACACTAATATCATGGCAATAACACAAGGTCAGGAAGCACACACCACTGACTGCTGGCAAGCCCTGTCTTCAGAGCTTTCATGCTGGTGTTTTCTGACTCCACACACTCCTCCCCAGCTGCCAGTTTACGGTCCCCTTCTACTGTACAAAAGTGACAGCTGTTCTGCTATTTTTCTTCAAAAAGCCACCAGTATAGTGGCACATTTTCACTTCCAGTTTAGTGAGCTCAGAACATGACCTGTTTGACTCTGAAAGAATAATTTTCAACTCTTTGCCTCCAAGTTTGCACAGAAAAGGCAATTTGATGGAAAGAGAGATTTTCATCTGTTCAGAGGCCCTGTTAAAATCTCTTCTCTGCTTGGGGTTGGCAGAGTGAGCATGCCCTGCTGTTTTAGCACATTTCTTATCAAAGCCTTATCAATTTATTCAACAAGATTTTAAGTATTCACACCTCTGTCTCTTTTGCATGTAAAGAGAATAAGTAATTTTTGGTTTGCAAAGGCCAGTAAGACACCACTGATACTTCTACAAGTTATTAAATACTCCTGTTTAGATTGAATGCACAAGCTTTTACTTTTCAACCTTCTCCAAAATTAGCACTTTATTATTTTATTCCTTATCTAGTAGTTCCCTGGCAGACTGATAAGAAAGAAAGACCCATTCTGAAGGTCACAAATGCTCGTAATAGGGACCACTCACATGGTCCTGGGCAACCAGCTTTTGCTGACCCTGCTTGAGCAGGGGCTTGGACCAGATGACCTCTAGAGTTTCCTTCCAACCTTGACCACTCTGCCATCCTGTTTGATAGTTGTACTTTGACTACAGTAAGTTAACAGAAAAGAAGCAACACTACAAGAAAAGCCTTGAGGAAAGTGGGAGTTTCAAATAAACTAAAACATTAGGTCAATAAAAGTATCTACCTGAATACATATAAACAAAAAGTTAATGCTTAAAAACTGTCCTGGAATAATTCTTTTGCCTCCTCAAAACAGCATATCTTCACAAGAAAGGAACAACAAAAACAGAAAAGGAGGTTCATCAGATTAAGGGCAGAATGAGAGGTTTATGTTAGCAGAAAGCATGGAGACAGATTATTACTAGCATCCATTATTTACTATATTTTAACAAGACCTCTTATGGATGACATCGGATGATGGTTTAAAGAGTGAAAAATACCTTCTCAATCCTGCACCAAAGTAGCATGCACTCCAAGGCAGATTGTGAATGACAATCTTTAAACATAATTGCTATGGAAGTTTGACGTATAAAAGCCTAATAGGGAATATTTTTGCAGCCACTATGAAAGCTGATAAAGGGAAAAGTGATTTCCCACCCCCAGTATACAAGACATTGCAATTTAACACGTCTTACCCAGTCACACAGAAAAAAAGGAGGGGGGCAGAAATGTTTGTGATAAAGGGAAAAGTGATTTCCCACCTCCAGTATACAAGACATTGCAATTTGACACGTCTTACCCAGTCACACAGGAAAAAAAGGAGGGGGGCAGAAATGTTTTGAGGTAATTTTTCTACTATCTTCATACTCATTAATCCTATGTTATAGAAACAGTAGAGCAGCCATTTCCTTGTAAGACGATATAAAACTGACACAAATCCCTGTTAATGCACTGAAAGCAGAATAAATTATACCCGAGAAGTCAAAGAAAGTTAGAAATCTAAGAATCTGCTAAAGTTTTCCTTCATTTTTCTTGCCCCATGGTTCTGAATCTGAATAAAAGGCCATCAAACTCATTCTGCCAAGCTAGGAAATGCCAGGGTTAAAGTATGAGATGTCTTCCCCTCAAAAAAGCCAGTGAAACACAGCGTGTCTTAATTAGGTCATATCCCAAAGATAAACTTAGTAAAATTTGGGAAATTGTATTACAGCTGGAAGCATCTCACATAGAAAAAGCCTTAAGTGATTTGCAACAACTCTGTTATATGGGCATCTGATTTCCATAAACTTCTTCTATAACTGTTACAGAAAAAGAGAACAAAAATTGTTCATGATAAATGCAAATATTATGATGACTGAGTATCTAACTTCAGCATTCAGGTATGTTTCAGTTTTGAAACATTGACTTGCAGCCAAGTTACTAGATTTATGAAAATAAAATTTCTCTGGGTGAGATTGTTTCAGATACAGCCACTGATCCTTCAGCTCAGAACAAAAGCTCTAAAGAGCTTTGTTTGGAGAGCTCTGACAAGAGCTGAGAGGTTTCACACAAAAATGCCCAAACACCCCTTTATCTATCTATTTTGGCAGCTATAGCAATAACAAGCAGAAGCTTGTTATTTACATGCAAAAGTATGAAGGAACCAGTGACAGCACTTCAAGGGTATCTTACTCTAAGGCCTGGTGGTGAAGTGTTCACACATCAAGAACAACAAAAGTTGCTGCCAGCCTAAAAAAACTGTTGTTGCCTATGCTGTGATCTCATCACACAAACAGTTACATACCAAACCCCAAGAATTCTAGACATGCAAATTATCCTCAGAACATACATCATTTAAAACTGTTTCATATCTAGAAACTGAACAAAGCAGCATGGTTGGCAGCACAAAGTACATTGAGAACTATGGTTGTTTTCCAGGGCACATGGGTTTCCAAGGGACATAATGAAAAGCCTCTTAACCTGTTTTAGCCCAGAAATAAGCAAAGCAGCTCTGTCAGATGCCAGCCATCCACTGTGCCAAGATTCAATCCTGCTGTAAAATGGACAATTTATATCAGAGATTTAAGAATGAGATATATGTACAAAGGTGATATGTTTGGGAAGCTGCATGAATGCACAAGCCTTCCTCTTGGATTTGAGACATGGGGTACTTTTCACTGCTTCTAGGGAGGCTAGTGCTCCAAATAGGAAGATGAATGTGCCAAACACTTTTGAAGATATTTGAGGCTTCTAGCTAGAAATCTTCCATGAGGGCAACAGCCCTGAAACAGTCAAAAAAAGGAGGGGAGAGAAAAATAATTTCCTCTTAGCAGCCACCTTCTCTATCACAACTTTCTGCTGCATATTCCCTATCATGTTTCATAAGAGGATACTCTCTGCAACAGAGAGTAGCAATCCCACTTGCCTTTCAGTTAGAGAAAGGGCTTGGCAGAAAGACAGGGAGACACATCCTCTTTTGCTTCCAGCTGTGCTGCTGGAAGAGGGTACACACTAATTCAATTTCCAGCAAGTCAGAGAACTCTATGTCTCTCACCCTCCCTGCTTCCCACCAGCTATCTGCTTGTTCTGTAGATATGTTGAGTCCCAGTTCAGTTCCCACGGGGACAGAGAACATGAGAATAGCCTAGTAAACATAAGTTCTTATCCTCAAAAAAACCCCAAAAACACAGAAGAGGAAAAAAAAAAAAAAACAAACCCCCAAAACCCCCAAAACGTTTCTCAACCAAATAGAAATGTTTGGGAAGAGAGGAGGGGGATAAAGTGCTGCTGAGAACCTAAAACAATAGTACTTCCCAGCTTCAACTTTTCCACTCAACTTTGTGACCTTAGTAATGTTCTATGCCAGCTCCTACAGTTTCAGGAGCATCAGTGGTAGAAGCTCTAATTCTAGTACACAGACCTCAGACCTGTACTCTATGGGAATAATTAATATCCTGAGAGGAACTGGAAGGTATGCTGTTGGGAAGCCTCAGTCTCATCTACATAAAACCAAGGAAGCTCTAAGTCTCATGGAGTCCCAGCTGTGCATGTTCAAAAAAAGGACTCTTTGGAAATTTAGGAGTCAAATTCTCGCTGAACATGTGCAAACAGATGTTCTTTCCAGGCATATAATTTTCTCAAGTTTTGATCAATGTTAGCAAAAAGCAGAATAAATACAGAGGTTAATCTGAGGTGAACATGGAGGATCATATTCCTAACCATTTTAATAGGACAAACAAATTTTGGGAAGGGCTGCTGCTGACACCTAGTTCTGAAGCACTCATTCTGCTGAAACACGAGTAGTGCGTATGAAGTACAGAAGGGAGCGAGCTCCATCTTCTGTTGCCCCACGCAGACCATAGCCAAGGATATTACCTTACTGCTTGAGGAGGAGTTTTCAGTTTCCTGAAGGCTTAACAGTATTTTTCTGCACTCTGTCAAAGGCATTCTTCCATTTTCTTTGCTGCTCTGCACTCCATAATCCTGACTAACCTCATTGCTGCTTGACAGACTGCCCTCTGCCCTTAGCAGGTCAGCTCTTCAGCAAGATGCAGCACACATACAATACCCCTTGTAGAAAAGGTGAAACATCCAGGAAATGAACTGCACTAGAAAAAATTCCCAGTGTTTTCCATCATGGTTCATCACCCTGCCAACGAGATAGCAGGAACAAGGACAAAAGGTTTCTCTTTGAAAGAAAGTGGATCTAAAGCTTCCACCCCTCTCAAGGGCACACACAAAACAGGGCACAGACAGCTGCACTGCACTGGGGTTCAGCAAATCACTAAGGTTGTCAGACTGCAGCTAGATCAAAGATGGGGATGAATGTCAAGCTCTGACCATGGAGCCAGAAGATACTTGCTACTTTTAGAATTCTCTATATACCTCCACTTTCCTTATACTACAGCCTTACCTGCTACACTGTCAACACCCAAAATACACTTTTCTTTTGTAATATTCAACTCACCTTTGAACGAAATGTTGGGTGGACAAAATACAGTGCCTTCAAATTCCTCTTGTACCTGGTTTAGGGAAATCCTCTTGTACCTGGTTCAGGGAAAGAAAACTGTCTTTAAAAGTGACTTCTAATTAAGCTCACCTACACAACCCAACTGTTAAAATAGATAATTTTGCTTAACAAAAAAATGCCATAACATTTTACAAAGTTAGGTCTAATAAAAGGACAGATATCAGAAAAGTAAAGGGGGGGATTAAAAAAAGCTGGCTGATTATTTTTCAGGTAATGACATCATAGTCTACAGCCTTTTATGTGGACAGTGAAAGTTAGGGACAAATTATGACTGCCAACGTTATGCAAGCCTCTTTCTTCACAACTAGCAACATACCTAAAGCCTGGCTCCAGAAGCTCCACCTCTGGATAGAGGCAGACAATACACCCAGTATGCCTAACAGCTCCAAAAGGGAGATTGCAGAGGACAGAAATTCCTGGTTTAATAGATAGTTTTGAGAAGGAAAGAAAATGCATTTTCCCTCCTCTTGACTTTTGTATTTACTTCGGTCTTTGTCCCAGCAAAACATTCTCACAAATAAACAGAAAACCAGACACAGGGAAAGACAAACACTTTCACAGCATGGAGAAAGACCAGAAGGGGTTCTCTTCCTATTGACACTCACTTGGCATCCACAACATCATAGAGTTTCTTCAAGAAATTAGAGTCTAGTTGATTGTAGTCATTTGTGAGCGTATGGAAATACACCAGGACATATTCCTTCACTGCAATATGATCCATGACGTGGATAAAATACAGAAGAGCCTGAGTCAGAAAGAAATAAGAAGAACTCATTCACAGTTGCATTACATCTTAATATACTTTAATTCATTCACAAATCAGGAAAAAACGAGGCTGAATGGCATTATGTTTCAGCTACAAAAGCAAGGTGAAGACTCCAAGTGTTCAGCTTGAATGTAATAACTTAGATGTCTTTTTGTTTAGCTGGCCTCACAGATGGGCATAAATTCTTGCTGTTTCCATGAAAAACTAATTTGACTCCTTATATTTAATTCCTTATGTCTTGGCAGTTACAGAAGCAGGGCAAGTCCTTCTTCTTAAAAAGAAAAAGGAGCCCATGTTAGGCCTGTTTTTCTAAAAACAGCCCAGTTCCTCCTTGAAAAAAGATACCCTAACACAGCTCCATAAAGGAATACATTTTTACCTGCCTATAAAAATAGTTTCCATTCATTCTCTTTTAAGCCGTCTATAGATAAAGTTTCTAGAGTTAACACTGAATTACCCATATAATCAGACATTCACATCCTGGACATTCAAAGTGAACCTACACAGGCCTAGTTTCACAAAGCCTTACCTTTTCCATGTCTATCAGTGTTACAGGGATGTTCCTTCCAACCACCACCATCACTGTCCGGCCACAGTTATCTACACCTACAAAGTAAAGAGAAGGATGTTTCTAAACTCCTCCCAGTCATGCCAGGTTTTAGAGTCAGTCCCTTTCAAACCAGGGAGAACCAGCCACAGCTCAGGGCTTTTGCAACACATCTGGTCTGCCTCTTAACATTGGAGGAAATAGGCTTGGAATTACTGTTCTCACTATGCCAGTAGCTATTCTGATCCTACATCTGAGAAACTTAAGTCTTAGGGACTGCAATATGTTACCTGTGTACTCTACATTTACCTAAATCTGAAGTGATAGCATGGCTTGTATTTAAAAAAACAAAGTGAACGCCAACTCCTCACTTGCAGTTCTACCACCACAGCAAACTTCTTCCTAGAAACCACGCTCTGAAATCTAATGCACAGATTCCCAGAGCACACCTTATGGACCTCCTGCAACCCACAGAGCCTTGTTTAGGGCAAACAATAGAATTTTAAATTGCAGCTACTGAGCAGAAGGTACAAAGCCTTGGCATTTGCACAAAGACCACAAAGCATCTGGATTTTCAGCAGGCCAAAGTTACCAGCCCAAGTGCTGAGCAGATTTCCTCTGCAGAAGCACAGCTACATTTTCAAGAGCCTGACTGCTTGCCTGCTTCTTCCTGTCACAGTGCAAAGCAGCAGTAAGTCACTGGGACTATGTCAATTTTTTTTTTTTGTCTGAGTTAGATGCTGCCTAAAGAGTAAAAGTGAACTGAAGAGTACAGATTCCCCATCTCTGCTTCCTAAGCTGCAAGGACCTTGCAGCTATTTTGTTTCACTGAACTCTCCAGTGGGTTGTTGAAGCTCTCCCTAATCTCCCCATCTACTGAACTCAAGGCTACAAGATGTGCAGCCTGTGGTACTTGGCCATTAGTACTAGGAGACACATACAGAGGAGAGCAACACACACCTAGCCTGAGGGAAATAAAGCAAGCCACTTTGTTCAGGGAATCTGTATTACAAGTTGCTTTGGTTACTGCTTACTCTCTACACTAATTATCTGAAAGTACCATTAATTTCTTTGTAGCAAGGGTGTGGAGACAGTTCTTTTGGTCTGAATTAGCTCATACAAAGCACCTTATGCATTGGCTTAATCTAACAGTAGATATACATCTCAAGCTGCAGATAAGTCAGGATATGCATATATACTCAGACTGTTCAAGGAGCTGTCTGGGAGTTTCCTGCAGTCTTTCATAGCCAATCAAGACAGAATTCCTGCTTTACTGCAGAGATGTTGCTTAATTCTTGGCCAGGCTTCTAGTTTAGTAACATGACTTATTGTCTAATCAAGTCCAAAGAAAATACTATATTTTTATTTTCTATTTTTACTTTAAGACAAAATGCGTCAGCCATTGGTACCTGGAACTTACCTGTCTGGTACAAGGCTTTAAGAGAAGCAATATCAGAGAGGTCTTCAGCTCTTGCCTGACACAGCCAGCGATTATAACTAGAAAGGTAAAAACATCTGGTCAGATCTAATCCCCCTTGGATTAGCATTAGAAGCCTGAAGAGGTATATGGGAAGGACAAAACTAGCTCTTTCTGACTGATCCCCCTCTCTGATGTTGTGATATTCTGACCTACGGGGCAACTATCAAGTTGTTAAAGAAAGAATTGTTGAGGAAAGACAAAAAACAAGTTGTGTCTTAGTTACAGCCTTTGTGATTTTCACTGGGGCAATGAATACGTACCAACAACTAACTATACTGGCATTACATTTGGACTGAAAAGATCTCAGAGTTTTGGTTTTTTTTTCCATTTAAATACCTCAGTGTCAGTGTTTAAAAAATAAAGAAAAAAAAGAAAATTTCTCTAAAAAGTCTAGAATTCAGACAACTACATATGTGACACTGGTTGCTGCGGACTTGCGCCCCTGCCTTTGAATGGTGAACAGCTTATTGCCTCATGTGACATAACAAGTCAAGCCTCATGCCTCAGGAGGACTCCAGCATGGAACTGCCTTTTAAGAAAGTGATCATACACATTAAGGTTAGCAGGGGAAAAAAAAAAAAAAACCAACAAAACAACACAACAAAAAACCTACAAAAAGAGCAAAAAAGCCTCAGCATTCAATTATTTATCTTTCTGTTTTGAAAGAGGAAAGAAAAATGTTTTGGTACCTGCCCAGAGCCTCAGGAGCAAGTGGGCAGTATTGAAAGCGGGTGACCCCACTACAAAAAAAGGTGCCTACACAGTGACATCTTGTGGCAAAGAGACCAGGCAGCTGGTCGGATGCACCGGGTATGCCAGTGGGTTCCTCACTAGCTTCCCTCTTCCTCCTACTGCCCCTCCCCATCTCCCTTCAGGCCAAAGAGGCCACCACAGCGATCCAGCCTGACACCAGGCTTTATCTGTATTCCCTGGCCAGAAGATTAGGCTTTACAAATAACAAAATCATCGTAAGGGCTGGTCCTGAGAGCAGCTAACTAACACAAGCCGTTCACACAGATGAGGAAATTCTCACTTCCTCTGATGCTGCTTTTGCAGTGCTGCCTCTGACAACTGTCCCTGAAGGATGAGGCGTCTCTGCTTATCAACGTCTCCCTCCATGCGGGCGAAAGCATGGGAACCAATGAAAGACAAATCTGCCTCCAGACCCTCTTCATCTGAAGCATCTGCAGTAGAAACAAAGGCAGTGTGAAATGTTCAAGCTGCGTACAAGACAGCAGTGCTGTCGACTAATTGCTATATATCTCAGTGAGCCCACTCAGTCATCATGCCACAAAGTAACAAAAAAAACCCCACCCTGTACCCTGAGGTGGCTCTGCACCAGGACCAGGGGCGGGTTATAGCATATGATTGGTAACTACAGACCCCCTTAAAATGGAAACCAACAGGGCAAGTCCTAGTCATCAGCTTGTAACAAAGGGGTAACGGTTAACTCTCAAAAAACAAGGTCTGGAGAGAGTAACTTGGGCTTCCCTGTTGCCCTACTGGTCAAAGGGGGAAAAACAAGCATGAAGAGGGACAGATGCTGCAGCTTTATTCAGCTCAGTGCTGTAGTAAAGGGCTCACTTCCTTTTGCACCATTGACACTGCTTGAACAGATGCTGTAGAGTTGGCAGTGAACTGAGTTTAGGTATTTTTATAGTATTGTTTATGACACAACTGTGTGATTAAATGCAAGAGCACAAACTCACTTCCTGGTGACAATACCAGAATGCTCCACTGAACCTGATGGCATCAAGGAATATTGCTAAGGCTTCTAGCACAACCTCGCTGAGCAATTGAGATGGGAACAGAATTTCCCAGTTTTAGTGAGACGTGATATAGTAGCAATGGGACAAAAGTGCAAGATTCTGCTGTACCCATTTGCTCCTACATATGCAAACCCAGTCTGCATAATTTCACAAATTTCTAGCTAGCAGTTGAATGCCTCACACTGTTCAGACACAGCTGTCAATACCACTCTAACATGCAGTTTGGATGGGGCAGGGGGGAAATGCTGAAATCTGATCAGCTGGAGTAGGTACATCAGGTACCAAACTGTGGGTAGGAAAATTAACTTGTCTGTATCCTCACTGCATATTCAGCTTTATCTCAACTGGCCATGCAAAAGTAGAAAACTTTTGAAATCCATTTCAAGTTATCTGCTTTTGATGGTTTAAGGCTTCGCCTGAAGAAGTTTAAGACTTCCACAGCATTGCTTAACAAATAAGGCAGAACATGCCAGCTATGCCCATTTATATATTAAATTGTTTTGCCATGCGTACCCCACCTCAACCCTGACATCCATCCAGGCAACGCCTTTACAAACAGACTTCTTTCACTGAGCCTTGACAGCCATCTCCCAAACATTGATTGCTGGGTTGATCTAGTTCTATTTTTAGAGCCTTTCTGCTAGTTTGCATTGAACACCTACTATTTTGAGGCACATGCTGTATCAATAGAATTGTATGGTTTGAGACAATGCTTGTGCAACACTTTGCTAATATAGACCATTAAGAACACTGTCTTTAAGTTAGGGGGTGCACAAGATTCTGAAAAAAACCTGCAAAGGCCCTAATAATTTTGGGAGAAAGTCTGCAATGAGAATGAAGTACCCTGCCTCTCCCCACAAGAAAATGAAGACAGAACATCAGCTCTACCACATCCTCTAGCCACAACACTACACAAGGAGGCAGAAAGCAGAAGTTACTGCTGTAGAACACATGAAAACAAAGAGGCAGCTTGGCAACTGTCTTAGGTGAGGTGGGAAAGCACCTCTCATTCCGTTTTCCCCTCGACTTCCACTCACAACGACGGTTACCCTGGAGCTCAGGGAGGAGCTCACCCTGGGGAACCCCCGGCTTCTCGGCGATCCGGATCTGCCGCTCGGGCACGACGGGCTCTCCGTCCGCGTTGCCGATGTCCACAGGGAGGTAGGGCAGGGAGCGCAGCTCCTCCTCCAGCGACCGCGGGAAGTACAGGGGCAGCAGCTTCTGGTAAGTGCCCTGCGAGTAAGAAAAGTGCCTGAAGGGTCTATCACGCATCCTGGCTTGTTAAGCAACACCTGCCCTTCCAGCAGGGACCCTCGCCGTGGACTGGAGGTAAAGTACCACTTCCCTCAATGGCTTATTTTGGGCTGTTACCCAGCAACAAAAGCAGATAATCTCGATTAAGGTTAACTTCTCCCCTCACACACACTGGCAAATGACCTTGAGAGGACTCTTCTTTAATCTGCATGAACTTGGGTAGATTGCAGATACTTGAGCTTTGTGATGAAGTTACAATGTGCACAGATACAGACTTCAGCAAAGGCTCCTTATATTAAAATGCACCACTACACAGATCACCTTTAGTGATGTGACTAGGATAAAAAGAAAGAGCAACAACCAGCCAAGAGAAACCCTCCCCACATGGAGGAAAATAGTGAAAATCTCTACTGAATGCTGTAATACTTCGTGTTCTCTCCAACTGATTAGCCGTTTTAGAACTCCCAACAAGTTGTTTTCCTCATCCAGATGCCATAGAACCTGAAGACTGAATGTTGTTCTGCCCAGGAACTGTCATTACCAAGTCTGATATACAAGAGAAGTCAATATTCAAACTACTAGCACCTGTCTGAACACAGATCATGAAATGTCCAACTTACTTTTTCAACAAATCAGCAAGCCATGTTTAAGATGTTTGGAGGTCACCTATAGGCTGCTAAACTGGCCCTTCTAAAGCACAAAGGAAGCAGCAAGGAGGAAATCTTGTATGAGGAATTTATTTTCTGGCTGGCAGGTACCACCCAGCACAACTGCTTGCTATAACCTCTAGTACTGGTTCCTGTTCATGGCTCAGGAACAGGGAAGCCAGAATTGGGAAGATTCTGAACATGTCTACAGTGACTCCTAAGAGCATAAACAGTACTGGAAAAGAGAATGTGCTAGTGGGAGACAAAAGGATGCTGTGGGACCAAGTCTATGAGACTGGAAGTGGAAATCCAAATCCAGCTCTACAATACAGGAGTTAATATTGGTGCAGAGAAGATCAAACATGCCCATGAATTCTGGTGGAATGAACATCAAGGATATACCTCTTCCAGCTCAGACACTGCAAACACCACCTTCTCCAGGGTCTCTCCATGAATCTCCAGGAACCTTCTAACTGTGCCTGCAAGGAAAAAGATTAAATGTAGTTAGCAAAACAGGAGGAAAAACTGACACACACAACTACAAGTGAAGAAGTCAGAGTGCAGAGTAGAGAGACTTCTCTCTCCTGATAAGAATAGCTCCAAGTGGGGATTAAGTGGTAGCTGAACACACCAAATGGGTTTGGTTGTATTGGAAGTTCCACCTCCACATTCCATACAGACACAGAAAGAGAAAGTCTCTGATTTTAGCTTACTAGGTATTCCTCAGTCTATGGAATGAGATTCTGTGGCCTTGCAAAATCAAGCTAAATCCTTCCTTTCCGGAGTCCTGTTCAAACTGCCAAAACTAGACATTCCCAGAAGAAGTCATTGTGCCCCAAGTTATCAGGAAAGCAAGATAAACAAGCTATAGGAGAAGCTGGTACAAGACAGTCAGCTGCAAAGAACCTCTGGAGTCAGCCATGCCAAAGAGGCATGTAAAAATTGTACTTGTAAATTATGAGAGAATTTATTTCCTTTATTACTTTTTTTGGACTCCCCCAAAGCTTTAGCATAATGCAGGGACACAGTCAAGTTCCTGAGCATTGCCAGTTGAGGGGGAAAATTATCTGCAACCAAGCTCCTGGTCTGACATATCCCTGTACAGATGAGGTCCTTGAGCTGCAATAATCTTGACACATGTCAGGATTTTCAAGTGCTTTCCTGTCAGATTGCCAAGGAAGTGTCCAAATAGGTTGGTCTAGCAGTATTTTATCAAGTAGCATATAGCCCTAGAGAGACAACAGAAGAGAGCAGTAAAGATAAGAAGTCTATTCTACACAGAATATATTAGTATGAGTTCTTCAAGAAACTTGAGAGGAAAACAGAAAAAAAAAAAAAAAAAAGACTTATTTTCAACTTGATTCATACAGCATTGTTTGAAGGTTCTTATTTTAGGAGACAGTGAACAGCTGATTCCTATTCACCATTTCCATGCCACTCATGAGTTTATAGACATCTATCACACTCCAAGTTCAGCATATACCAGTCTGAAAACCACTTTAGCTGGCTTCACTGTTTCTTGCCTTTCCCTATTCTTGTTGACTTCCTCAACTTTTCATTCTACTATATTCTTTTTAAATGTGCAGCTTTAAAGTGGAAGACAAAACACAGATTTATAGCATAATGTTCTTAATTTTGTTGTGTCTTAGTTTGGTGCTTTGAACTCCAGAGAGCTGTTGTTTTTGCAAAACTATTATAAGCTCAAGATTTTGCTCCCTAGGATTAGCCCATCATTTTGCACATGAAGGCAGAAGCATATAAGGGTGGGTCAGTGGGGGAAGAATGTCGCTTTACATCTGGATGTGCTGATGACACCGGAATGGCAGATCAAATTCACTCTGCTGCTTCAGGTCTGTCCACAGCTACCCAACAATAAGGCTTCATCTTCACTATTCTGAACAATTGTATCACCAGCAAACTTTCTCACCTCACTGTTAAGCATCTTTTCCAAGTTATTCATTAATACATTGTAAGACTGCAAGTACCAGCACAGATTCCTGTGGATATTTACTGGTGACCTCTCAACATTTGTTTTTATAGTCCATTTCCTGATCAGCACTGGAAGGTCTTGCCTTTTTAGCTCCAACAAGCTACTGCCCCCTAAAAAAAGGCTTCCCCATATCAACAGCAGTCTGTCAGAGGGAAGTGATTTGCTGAATACTGCCATCCAGCTTGTGTCATTTTTCAACAAACTTACGTAGTGCTATGTGGGTTGCATCCTCCAAGGGGTAGCATCTTTTCAGAGAGTTAATGACACAAAATCCTATGGAGCACATTGCCTGTTCCCTGAAACCCAGAAAAAGAGAAACAAATGAACAGACAGTCAGATGAGAACAACTGTCTGTCAGTACAGTAGATAACACCAGTACTTTTTTCCTGCATCTAAGCAACAGCAACACTTTTTCAGGTTTTTGCAGAAGGATTCTTTTCTGGCTAGATGTATACCTATCTCTATTAAGCAGAGAAGGAGGGAACCATTAATGATTTCACACTGTTCGCATCTTATGTTTGTTCTCAGGTTCCTACTTCTACCTCAGCTCTGTTGTTCCTAGATTCTCATCCTGAATGAAGAGATTCTTCCCTCAAGCTCCCTGCAATGATTTCCAAAATACTTTCCTTCCTGTGTAGGATTGCCAGTGAGGAGAAGGAGGGGAAAAGAAGATGCTCTTTATTGCAGACATTCTCTTGTTGCTCCACTTAACCTATCACTTGTTCTGTTAGAGGTCTGGACACAGACCAAGGTGGCTTACTCAGTCCAAGGTATGATGAGACAGTCATTGGCAGAGAGCAATACATACTTTAAGATGAATAAGATTCTTCCAGCAGAGAGCCACATTTTTAAAAGAGTAAAGCAGAGGTGTTGCCAACAGTCATCAGAGGAATTTGAGCAGGCTGGGAGCTGGCAGACAGTTTCACAAGCATCAAAAGTTACTCTAGAGAACAGATTGACTGAAAGGCATTCAGAATTCAGTGAGTAGAATCATTAGAATTTTAAAATTGTTTTTAGCACGTTTCAACCCAGGCCTGACTTTGCTTGTTACTTCTGAGGCAGAACAAAAATGGCACATACTAGAAACCTTGGCAGTAATCTTGATTATGAAATGATTACTGTTGCACTGTAACACACAGTCCAGACTCGGAAGTAGTGTTTTTCCCAGCCCTAAGAAATTGTTGAGTATATTTTCTGACATTGGTCTTGTTCAGGTATTTTTTTGTGACTGCTACAATTAAAATAACAATCACAGGAGAAGAAAAGAATACAGGAAAGAATACAATAAAAAAAAACAGAAAGAAACCCCCCTATTAGCTAAGAGGAAGTAGAAAATACCACAGACAAAAGAGGAGAAACTACAAACCCAACTGCAGTAACTTTGGATTTAGAAATAGAAATTTAGAGACCTTGCACCCTAACTCAGAATTTGAGATGGCTGTTGTACAAAGGCAGAGGGGCCAAATACATGAACTGATCAGCAGCCAGATCTGCCTGTGGGTAGGTCCATGTGGCTGCAGGGACACATGAAGTTGCTGCTAGAGCAAGCTCCTTTACAGTTTTCTGCAGCACAGAACCCAACACAATTACCAGTACTGCCTCTTCTCAGACTAACTGGAAGCTGCACAGCTCTTGCTACACCGTTTCAGTGGTGAACCAACTCGGATCCCTCTGTGGATTTCATCTACACTGCAGCGGAGGTAACAAAAGTCATAACATAAACAATGAAGCCACTGATGCCCTCACATCCTTAACAAAATCCACTATGCAAGAGAAACTATCGACAGCCGTTTGGCCTCCGAGCAGAGGCGGCACCGAGGGGCGGCTCTCACTTTGCGAGCTGCAGGACGTTGCGGTAGCAGCTGTAGAGGGAGCTCTCCGCGGCTGTGCGATACCGGCTTTTGTATTTGGGTCCCACCGTGTGAATGATGAAACGTGCGGCCAAGTTAAACCCTTTGGTGAGCTTAGCCTCGCCTGTCCTGCACCCTGAAATAAAAATAAAGACAAGGATAAATGCCAACGGAATGCAAAGAAAACCAGAAGCGTTCAAGCCCTTGAATTCCTCCAGTCAGACAACCACCTCATATATAGGAGTCAGTGTTTGAGATTTTAAACATCAGATATAGAGGATAGGATTCCATCTCATAAAAGCTCCTTTGTATCATCTAGTCAGGCTGAGAAGGCAAGAGCTGTGCCCATTCCTCTCAGTTTTAAAACTATGAATATAAGGACAAACCAGAAATGTCTAGAAGTGCTGCTTTAATTGCAGTGCTTCCTATGCCACGTACAGAACCAAAGGGAGAAATGATTTATCCGTGTGCAGAGAAATGATGCACAGATATGCTACACAACCAGCAATGAGAAGTCCTTCTGAATTTAATAGGTTGGTTTGGGGAGATTGCTTTTTGAATAAAAAGACTACAATTCTCCTTAATCGCTCAGTGAGCAGCTGGTGAGTTTAAGAATGAACAGACCAAGCACTTGTTTCATCCATGCTCCCAGAACAAGGTAGCTGTCTTTGTCCTGCAAGCTTCTTCATGTCCACAGGCAGAAGTATGATTCTCAGGGAGATCATACTTTCTTGACGGACTAGGTCTCTAGTTTCAAGGCAAGCAAGTTCAAGCAACACATTTAATTGCTCTGTTTCCAGTACCCTCTAGCACATACTCCTAGAGAACCATTTACTGCAAGCTAGCATGCTTTACTTCTTTACCTCTTTTTGGTTTTAACTGCTCTTTGGTTATCCCCTGCAAGTTACTCATACTTAATTCCTGCCATTTTTCACAAGGGAAATCAGTCTGTCAGAACCTTCAATGACATCCATAGATCTTCCCATGCCCTTCAGTTTGTCAATACATTTCTGATAATGAAAAATCCAGGAGGAGCTGCTGTGTTTGAATTCTGGGTTTTTCTTTGGCACCTGGAAGAAAAGTCTGCTGACTCTCCCCTTCTTCACCCAAATCTAGTCTGCACCAGTTCTGGACAGCTAAAGTAGAACTTATAGTCGTTCCCTACTCTCAAAGACAAGCACATTCCACCTTCCTTCTGCTTGTACAGTTGCACTTCAGCTTTCTGATATGGCTGAAAACTAGTATTTTCACTGGATAGCTTTCAAGCTTTATAGGTTGCTAGTGCCCACAAAAAAGGAACGAGATGCTAACAAGCAGCTGCAGTTGCTTGGCTTCAGTCAGTCATGAAGCTGCCCACTGACCAGGAGCATTCATTCACCTGTCCTGCTCCACTCTGCTCCTGGTGGTGCTCAGGCAGGCTATGAGTGTGCAGGAAAGCATATTTTATCACATGAGACATTTCAGGTTGATAATCTCTCTTACTCAAAACTCTACACACACCTTTAACGGCAACAACATTTTGCCTTTAAACCAACATCTTTTGAACTTTTTAGTTTCTACATACCTCCACCTTCTTTCTTCTGTTTTAATCAGAAGGAATATAACAGCACACTAAAATTAAGTGTACTCTTCTTAGCTACTGCACATCCTCTAAGACACCTCAGCTCAAGAACGCAACTAAATAAGCACAATATGAAAAAAGTAGAAGGTAAAACACTTAATATATCAGACATCAAATTACTACTTTTCCTCTGTGGTCCACCCAAGTCATACAAACTTGAAAAGAGCAAACAAAGGCCTGTAAGGAAAACTGTCTTGTGAAAAGAATGAAGCAAGTTTGCCCAAAGTAGCACTCTGAATTCAGGAGGGAAGCTAATAAATTCAGACAACCAGACATAGCATCAGTAATCTCTAACTACATTTACAGCACACTCAGTACTTCCCAATGCCTTCTGCCTGAAAATCTCTACAAAATTTATATAACTAAAATGAGCAGCAAGTATTTATTCCTATTTTAAGGAATAATACAGGGTGAGGTGAGCTAGTAGAGTGAGCTGCTCAGGTCAAGCAAGGTGTGTTGCAAAACTAGGGATAAAGTCAAGATCTTATGCTTTTTTTATTTTTATCCAATGAGATTTCAAACATGGGAACAACTTCTCTCCAACTTTAAAATGGAAAGTCTGAAACTTCCATATGAAGTGTGCAGCACAAAAAGTCTCACTGGAGCTGGGAAACTACTATGCATCAGTGCTACAGAAGGTCTTCATTGGACTGCAGCAAGTATGTCAGCATATACCAACAGCACTTCATTTGCCACCTAGCCCCTTGGCTATAGCATTCCTGTGTTAATCAGAACTACACAGCATCCCCAGGAGACATACATTAGCTGAGCCTCAAAGAAAGCACAGGCCTTTGAAAGGTCAGCGTGTCACATGCTTTAGGATCATCATTTTTCTTGAAGTCTACAAAATATTAATATATAACAAGCAGTAGGAATAAAGGAGAGAAATGAAAATCACTGCTGTACTAATTTTACAGCTTTAGAGCAAAAGCCAAGCCTTTTCACTTCTTCCTAAGGACATTCTCCTATGAAAAAAGTCCAAAGTTAAATGGGAATATGTAGAAATAAAGCAGGTTATAAAAAAAAAAAAAAAAAATCAAACTCATCTCTTAACTTAGCTCCCTTTCACTTCTGCTGCTGCTCAGAACACATTAAAGATGCACAAATCCCAAATCTGTAAACCAGCTTGTTTCCTCCCCTAGGCAGCATGGCAGTAGAGCATCACAGAAAAACAGATTTCTGAAAAGCTCTTGTTACAAGATTAAAATGAAACTGGCATGTACAGGGAGTTGAGAACCTGCAGAATGCATTACAGAGACAACTTTAGTGTCATCACAGGGGTGGAGGATGCAAAACTACATAACTCAACATGCTACAGAGCAATTTTAGAAGCTAACCCAAACTTTTATAAAAAACTTCCTACACAGATGACACATCTCAAATTTTAAGGACTCCTTGAAATGTCCCTCTCTTCCCACCTCACAGAGCACACAAGAACCTAAAGTTTATATTTAAAGAGTTCTGGCACATGTAGCAGAATGTGTAGCATCTGCTGCATTTTAACAGTTGCTTACACCCAAAGAACACACTGACTTTTCCCTCTCCTATAAAATGGCTTACACTTCCTCCTGTTTACTTCCAGGTTACTCACAAAAAGCAAGCTGAATCAGCAAGGTATGATTTTATAAAAACAGAGGATGTCTATTCAGTTGTAGTTTAAGCCACCTAGAGTTTGTACTAAAGATATCATGGCTTTTCTATTCATTTTTTTTACTACATGGTAAGGATATAGAGTTGTTACCCACGAGAGTGAGCAGTACTACCCAGGGATCAGCTGGGTCTCAAAATTCATCTCAATAGCATACTAGAAATACGAATTCTTAACTGTAAACTATATCAGACTTCTGTATAACTTTGGATAACTATAAACTCCTAGTTCCTCACACAGAAAAATAAGTAAAGTCTTCACCTAATGGGCAATGGAAACAAAGCTTAGCATTTATAGGATGCTCCATCACTGGAAGTGTTCAAGGCCAGGATGGATGGAGCCTTGTCCAAGCTAGTCTAACAAGAGGTGTCCCTGCCCATGGTGGGGGGCTGGAACTAGGTAATCTTTAAGGTCCCATCCAACCCAAACCATTCTATGATTATCAGCCATAATAAAGAATCTAGGTAAAGCAAATTTCATCCATTTCCAGAATAGCCTTCCATTAGGGATGTCCTTGTAACTTTCTAATAAAACCTTTTGTTGTGTAGAAAAATCATTCAGTTCATTTGCCTCAAGTAGTCAGTTTAGACCTGTAGTATTTTATCAGTCCATCTATGATTGCCACAGTTTCCTGAAAGACTGTTTCTGTATATTAATAGCCTGAAAGATGATACACGAAGTGTGTAGTAGAACCCATTTAGAAGTCTGCCACAGTAACTGCAGTTCCTGTCTTCCACCGTGTATACACACTGAACAGGAGCAGAATCTGAAGATGGACAAGACTGGCCCCTCCAGTAAAAGCTCTGATCAGCTAACTGCTCTAAAGGGCTTCAGAAAACTATAGGAATTATTGCATCACAGGGCTCAGCAAGTCAAATAGCTGCCACAGGTTTTCAATGATCTGCAACCTGAATGGCAAAAAGAGAAGAGACTAGATTGGCATGTGTTTCTTCCATTTATTTCACATTAACATCAGATGTTGGAGGGAAAAAAAAGCACACTATAACTTGACTTTAGTTTATCCCCAAATTTAGTTTATCCCCAGATTAATGCTAAGCAAGGACTAGGTTTCAATAAGAGAAAAACATCTCCAGCCACTCACCTTTGAGCTTCTGGAGTTCATCCCTCAGGTCAGGCCCAGCATGCATGAATATACTTTCAGATACTGGATTCTTATCAGTGAGAGACTCATTACTGGTATTTACTATGGCCGTGCAGTTCAGCAATGCTACATCTCCTTTCCTGAGGAAACAAGGAAACAGCTTATTGCAGCCTAAATATAAGATTAAACAGGATGTTCCCAAGTAAGTGCTGACAAGCAGGGAAATGCCAAGTTAAAGCATTAACTCCAGTGCCCATACAGGGCAGCATACTCTGACATGCTCACCATGCAGAATCAACCTTTGGCTCTAACTGATGAGGCAAGGCTGCAGCCAATTTGTCACTTAAACACCCAGCCTCAAGAGTAACTCAGTGATGTATGCAGAAAAGACAGCGTTGTAGCTTTTTTTTTGGTTTGCATACGCACTATCTGGGACACCTTTCTGCTGCTCTCTTCCTTGGAGTACTGAGGATCTAGACAGACACTGCGGCTAGACAAGGCTTCACTGCCTTTGTTCTGAGATGGTGAACCTGCAACTGGATCATCTTCATTCTGCTGTTCAAGGATCAGACAAGCAGATGACAGACAAAGCATAGATGCATAAAAAACAATGGCGTAGCAGAACTCTGACCTGCTATTAAGAGATTTTGCGATCAAACTGCAGAGGAAGGGAAATAAAGATTCCCATGCACAGGCAGAGAATCAAATAGTGTTTTAAATTGCACACATTTAATATATGCAAGCCCAATACATAAGAAATGTTTAACCTTTTACTTCTCTCTTTCATTACTTAATCACGTTCAGGAAGTCCATGAATAGTCCCATTTCCTGCATCTATTAACCAGAAAGAGGTTCAGGCTGATCCCTGAATCTGTCTCTCAGAAATCCTTCTCTCTTCACAATGATAGAGTTACTCATCTAGAGAGCAGGTTCAAGTATCTGAGTTACAGGAAAGGAAAGCTGATGGAGTAAGTTCATTCACCTGAGCACACTGTAGTTTATCAATACTCTTTGTAAGAAAACCACAGAGACAGAACAGAGGAGAGAGAAAAAAAGAGGGGGAAAAAAAAAAAAAGCCTAAAGCAAGCCACAAGAACCACATGAAACAAATACTACACTAAATCAGAAAAATGAAAGTAGGATAAAAACAGCATGGAAAGAAAAAAGCTAGTAGACAGCAAACATATGAACATGCACTTTAAAACCTATGATGGAGCAAATCACAGACTTGCAGATTTAGAGGAAACAAAAAGATTTTCTTCCCAGACTTGTACTGTTTGACTCAAGAAAAGAAGGCTTGAAGGATTTATTCTGCAGCTGCAATTGTCCTGTGAGGCAATCAAATCCCACAGTAAAAAGAGAAGTGATGACAAATGCACCAGAGCCACAGGGAACTTACCATAAGATTATTTTTGCATTGATGTCTTTCCTGTATGGAAAAGGTGATCTAACATCAATCTGGGCTTTTTCAACAGGATTTTGGTGAGAGTCCAGCTGCTTAGCCTCATAGGCATCAGTCCAGCTGGGCAGACTGTCAACATCCACAAACTGGGAAGGAGCACCCAAGGGATCCATGGGATGGAAACAACAACTCCTTTCCTCCGCGAACTCGTCACACCCCAATTCTCACCGGAGTCTTCCAGGAGCTTTAAAAGGAAGAAGATCAAACCAGGTCACCAGCTGCTCACCGAAAGCAACTCCTGTGGAGAGAGACCTTTCACAAGGCTGCAACACAATTACAGCTAGAGGAAAACAGAAAAACAGATTCCCAGCTCACCCACTCCCTCCTTCTGTTTCGTTATCTGTTTGCATAAAGCCAATGCAAATACTTGTAGCTAAGACAAATCTTCTCCAATAGTGCAAGATGAAAACACCTCCTCTGCAAAACTGGTCCAACTGGGTCATTGTCCTGCATTTTGAAAATGCTGAACACAAGTGCCCAAGTGTAGAAAAGACCTTACTCTTTCTGGAAATTATCACTTCTTTATGTAAATAAAAAGCAGATTTGTAGCAGTGCATGTAAAAATCTAACCCTCCAGAGAGTTTGGTCTGGGTCATTATTTTTTTTTTTTTTTAAAAAAAAAGGAAGACCAAAAGAAACCATCACAACCCCCAAAACCCCTAAAATCCCTAAATGTGAAAAGCCATCACAAACAGAGCAATGAAAAGATCCTCCCTCCCCCCAGGTCACACAACCTTTGCAGTTCAGTGAATTCTGGAGCACTACAAGTAAGACTTAGAGTTGCTTAGTTCTTACAATAATGCCTGTTAGCACAAACCTCTTCACTTAAATAGGTTTTCCAGAAAAGTGAGCAATGCTGTAAATTTGCATGCTGGCCCAATGAACTTGCAGAATGAATTCTGCCATCTAATTATTATTTTTTTTTTTTTAAAAAAGGCTGAGCTAACACGGGTTGCTAGATTGTGACTCAAAATCGCTGAAACATACTTTTCAATTGCCAACATGTAACATCAAGGCTACTATGCTTTCATTGTAACTACTAAACTATACTACTGAATTAAACAAACACAAAACACACTCGCATAAGTAACTTCAGTTTGCCACATACACACCTACTATGTAACCTTTCTCTCAGGTTCGTAATCAGTGGTACTTTGTAAAAGATGGCATCCACAAACAGAAATTCTGAAACAGGAATTATGAAGCACATTCATTAACTGGGAAAACAAAAGCAGAAACAAAAACCCAGTCGAGCATCTAAACCCAATCTGAGGGATAACAAAGGCTGACACTGGGACAAGGATAACCATAGAAGCATCTAAATAAGATCTTTGCCACGAAGAGGCGTGAGAAAAACAACGGACGGGAAGGTGAGAGGAAGAGAAGGGGGTTAGTGTTCCCAGCCAAAAGCTCATCCGCAGCGCTGCCTTCCCTCCGACCGACGGCCCCAGGCGGACAGGGGCCCAGCCCTGGCGGCCAGGAGCGCGCAGAAGGCACGGAGCGCACACGAG